ACTTAGCCACAAAAGCTCAAAAAAAGAATCTGCAAAAGCTACGCTGGGTTGACATCGAGGATGAATAGAAGAGACGAAAAAGTAGAGAAACCCTATAATGAGTTGTTCGAAACCACAACTGTGGCCAGCAGTTGTGTCAAGTAAATGCCCAAAAGGGCGAAGAAAAAGACCAAATGAAGGCGCCTAGAAAAGAAGAAGCAGGTAGGTAAAAGGAGAATGACTTACCTCCGCCAAGCGGGATCGGATCGCTGCTACCAGTTTGGTGTATACACAGTACTACAGTAATATATCGCAGCTTTATCCATAAAAGCGAAAGAATGGAATACAGTGTGTCAGATCAGGAGTGGAAGATGTGGGCCAAGGTCGGGCGGAGGGCAGCAATCCAGCAGCACTCGGGTAAGACGTCCCATTCCTTGCAGGGTCCAGCGACGATGCCTCTCGAACGTTCCTCCCCTCGCCTTTTGTACGGCTCCTCCTCCTCCTGTAATCAGCAGAAGTCATCGGAGCATCATCGAAGCTCGCGTGCACTATTTATTGTCCCTTTACTAAGCTCTTACAATATGGGGGAGGGTCGTACCGATACCCCCTGAAAACGAAGGGGGTCGTAAAAATTTTGGAATTCGCGCAACGCAGGGTTGACCCTGAGCGCCTGTATGAGCCCATACGAGCACGATTGCGTAGTAGTTATCCAATTACATTTCTGAATGGATAGTGAAACAGAAGCAGACTTCTCCCCCTTCCCCACCCCTCCTTCGGAAACATAAATGATTAAAATAATGGCATTCCACCACAAACAAAAACAAAATAAAGTCCGGTATCCGAATGGATGCCGGGTCCAGATACTCAATGGACTCCTGTCCTGAACCGTCCCCGGATCACCCATTCCCGCCTTCGTGAAGTTCGATTGACGCGATCAAACCTTGGGCGCTGTTCAGATCCGGCACTTCGGATCTGATAAAAAGAAGCTCGCGAGCGTGAGAAGGGACTTAAACCCAAATGCTGCAGTAATTCTGAATATCTGTCAGAGTTCCGGCCTGGAGAAGATTGGTACTGCTGCGATCAATCTGGTCAGTACGGTCGGTACCAGGTCGGTAAGGAAAGTAGTTATTATTTCAAAGATCACGAGGGGGAAAAACCAAATTGTAGCCAATGGGATCACGGCAATAGAGTAAGTTCGAGAAGAGGGGATGAAGAGGGTTTGGAGTTACAGGGATCAAGCAAGAAACGGGCATCTAAAACAGAGGGAAGGGATTTAGCTAGCATTAGAAGGAGGCAAAAAGCCTAACTACTGTAATAGTAGGACACTTAGGAGCGCGATTCAGAAATTGAAAAAAAAAACTAAAACACCTGGGGGGGGGCACGAGAAAACCTACAGTGAAGTTGAATTGAATGAGGACACTAAAATATGTAAAAAAAAATCGAGTTTGATGTGAAAATTCCTTTTCCTTTCACGAAACCTTCGCAGTATCTCGCTACTTCAGATTTTCTGGTCAGGGAGGACAGAAAATGATAGGAATACAACACATAAGTACATATCAAAATGTGTTTTTCTTTCCATTTCCTCATAGCACAACTGAATTGGATATGTATCGTTCAGAGAAAGAAAGAAGAGCAGAAGAAAAAAAAACAGGCAGTATCTAAACAGTAATCAAAGAAAGCTCCAAGAAGCACCAGACTGAAAAGGTTTTGCATCTTATCATCTTATACCAATTCGGCTGTGAGAGAAGAAATAAAGAGGCACGAAGCTGTAGTGGCGGTGAATGATGAGAAATCGCCTCACGCTTCGATTATTACTCATTGATCAAACGGTCATAGCGTAGCAAGGATCACTGTTGTCGATACCATGTCGTATCTCCCCACCACCATCAGCTTTAGGGAGGGAGGGGGGGGGGGTGTTCGGATAAAGCCCGTCCTCATCCGCGATCACCATCCTTCAAATTTTTGGGATTCCCATCCCCACATTGCCGAGTCGCTGGTACTCATTGCCAAAGTCTGACACCAACTTATGTAGTGTTGTTCGCCATCTCTACCTCCTAGAAGAATCGAGTACCAGAAAAGCTATGTTTCCAACCTCATTTCATACAATAATACAATAGCAGTCAAAAATATTGAACCTTTTTTATTTGTGATCTGGCGCGTCCTACCCATAACGAAAATATCTCAAATTCAGATATTTCACACAAAATCAAGTCCAGAATAATCACTAAGAATAATTTCGAAAAATCTAAAATCTTATTAGAGGAATAAGATTTTTTTTCCAAGAAATGGCGCGTCAAGATTGGTAACTTTTGGTTCCACTCATCTTTATGATTCCTACTCCCAAGTATTTAATTGTTTTTTTTTAGTTCAACCATCGAGTATTATGTAATTTCCAAATGAACTCATTGGTAAAGAAAACAAGGACGCGAGGACAAATTTTTCCATGCGAATTGCGCGTCAGTTCGCACCCTCAGGAGGTCCGTGGGTCCCTCAACTAGGTCAGTTTCCCTTTCTTCGACCTTCATTCTAATCGTAAATTCCTCCTTAAAAAGTCCTAAAATTATTTTCTAATTAACCTTATGTTAACAAAACGATGCTGACATAGAAATTCGACAGCTACTCATCGAATAACTAATTTATCATGTGGATTCGAGAGCTATTTTGCCGAATTCGCTCCGGAATTCGGAAGTTTCCAAACTTTTGACGCGCCATTTCTTAAAAATTCGTATTTTTCAATTGCGAATCTCGAATCAGGGCAATTGCTTCGTATGCTATCAGCTCCGCTAAAGCGAAAGTTTGCAAACTTTTAACTGCTACTTTGTATCAAACTATAATATATAAAACTTATAAATATTGGTTGTTCTTAAACAACAATCAAATATTCACAATTTTTCACACTGAATCGTTTAATCGAAATCCTCGCATGCAGAAAACAATACGGCGTACTACACTCCATAACTATATACACACAACAATTAAAAAAAAACAAATAGAAATTCACGATATTTACGGATGAAACGAGCCGAGAGAAATGACTTGATGAACTGATCACATTCCAATCACAATTCGATAGTTATCAATCAATGTTTCGACGATGCAAAAGCGAAATGCTTCGTATGTGAGATTAACTTCATATGCCTCTCAGGTTGCAAAACAGTAGTAGTACTAGTAATAGTTGTATTAGTAGTAGTAGTAACAGTAGTAGTAGTAGCAGTAATAATAACAAGATAAAGAAGATAAGATGAGAATTTCAAGCAGCAAAACATACTGTGACAGAAATGACAAATGACCACCTATGTATGATGTGTACACTACTGTACACTAACAAAATTTCAAGTTATTGTAAAATACAAACATCAACAGTCACAATAGAGCAGATCCGCCGAATTGAGAAGCACAACAACGATATGATCTCTACTGCGCATAGAATTGAGACGTACTTCTGTTATACTTTAAAATTTCAACATCCACAGATTGAAATCTGCCACTGCGCGCTCCCCAGAAGATGTGCGATCCCTCCGGAATTCTAGTATTATCCCATTCCGCATTTTCTCCTCTACCTTTTTGTCGTCCTCTCTTTCATCCTCAGAACGTGACTCATGGGAGCAGTGCACAAAAAATAAACGGTGATGATAACGATGGATGATGATGATGATGAAGAAAATTGTGAAATCCTCGACAAACTCAATAATACCTGCATTAAAACAAATTCATGCGATTCGAATGGAACGCAAGACTAGATAACGCTCAATTTACGTATATCGATACGTCTGTTGCTAGCACTCCATTATGACAACAGAGCTCGAGCACACTTCATCAGCCAGTGATCATAGAGCGTTCAATATTTCTACAAATCGCGCACCTCCACCTCTATTTGGTGTCCCTATTGTAATGATCCCTTGAAGGCAGGTGGTACCACAGAATGGATGACGGTGGAATGATGGAAAGATTTGCTTACTTTGAAGGGAGGCGGGACTCCTGAGGGAACAAAACTGGCACCTTTGTGGGAAGAAGTACGCCCATAGCCACGTATTGAAGCTTTACCCGTCTCGCTTCTACCTTTGTGCCCTAGCTCCCCCTTCGATTGGCTGCTCCAGTAGCTAATCCCTCGCCATGGGCCGAGCCTTTTGGCGCAGACAGAGCAATGCGTTGACGTTGATGACGGCGGCAATCGTAGAACTTCGTCCAACACCAAAACTAACGAGCACATTTCCAACAGGAAACCAATATACGTTAACGAAAGAATGGAAAGGTGCCCGGTCATGAACGCAGAACCATTTCGAATAGTAGAAAGAGGTAGAGAGATCTGCATATTAAGCCAGCAACCTCCACATCTAAATTAAAGGAATCTTCCACGGACCATGGACCAGTGGGCGGGACCGGAAGTGGTTTTGCGACGAAATGCATGGTAGGTACGGATCCACGTTCATGGGAAGGTTTGAAGTGAATCCTGTTCACGTTCGTGCGTTCGACACGTGGATCCGTACCTACCATGCATTTCGTCACAAAAACTTCCGGTCCCGCCCACTGGTCCATGGTCCGTGGAAGATTCCTTTAAATTATGGAACATGTAGAATTTTTCAGACAATGCCAAGTTGGGAGTATTCCAGCCAGTAAGTTCAGCACAAGGTGAGAGGGTGACTTTGAATCTTTGCGAGTGGAACCCCTTTGAATCACTGGTATGATGAACATAAAGGAAAAAAATCTAACAATCTCGTCAAATGAAATGTGAATGGTAATAAACAATGAAGACTCTAAACGGTTCCCATCGTTAGATTCTGGAACTGTCTACCAACGGTCTGCCAATGAAGCTCACTAATAGATAGACCCTGTTCAGCCGTTAGATTTGGCCAATATCCTTTGTGAATTGCAATAACCTGGAAAGAAAATGATCATTCCCTTGCTTACGAAAATGTGTGATGAGAGAGAAAAAAAGAAAATGTGCTATAATCGCTATCTTGCCTTTTGTATGGTTTCTTGAGCACTGAGACAAGGTATTCCCTCGAGCGCTTCACTATTTAAAATACCCGCTTTATCATCATCTCCGCATAGTACCTGAAGAAAATACAGCAAAATTTAAACCACTAAGCGATCACTAAATTACATTTGATCTCTAAAAACTAGAAACAAACTGGGTCAAGGGAAAAACAATTCAAAAACGAATTCAGGCTTCACTGCCTTTCCCTTCCACAAGTTCTCATGTTTTATCCAAACGGCGCAGATGGTTTCATGGAATACAACCCAACTACGTCCGGGAACGGGAGGACAATGGATACTCATTGCGATTGAAGTACCTTTAAGTTGCTTTGAGTTTGGAGGGATTCCAGTATTCCCCTCTGGAGTCTCCCCATACTTTCAAATCCACTCAACTTGCTTCATCTAAAAAGACCCTTCTTATGAGTTGCCGACCCGCTCGTATAATTCTGGTCATGGACAATATTTAACAGCACCATTTACCACACCGATCGGCTTGACTCATCGATCCATCCACTCATTCTTCTTTCTACACTCATATACTTAATACATGTGCACAGCAAATGTCTTCAAACTATCAGTATCCACAAATTTTTGACACCTTTGGAATACAACATGCTGACGAAAAAAAAAAGAAAAAGCACATTGTTTTCATCTGGAACAGAATTGTAAATTGTTGGCCTACAAGTCTCACGACAATCTTCATCCACGACATTAGAATTCGGACATGAAATGTCATAAGATAAAAAAAATCTAAACATACCTCTTGACACAAACAAATCACACCATCAGTCGGAATTGGCTTTTAACAGTTCTAGTTTACTGTGGATGTTGTACATATATACTTATAAATTTGGCTGCGCACTCATTCGCGTGCATCACACGAGACTACAGTGGTATAGAACAGGGCCATCAATATTTTTATAATATTTTCTGGCAGACTTCGCTCCTTCGGTGCAAGCTCCAGCCACCTATGAATATTGACCTCCCTTCCGTTGTCGGACTTGATCCACTTTATCCCCGGTCTCCGTGACTTCTTAAAACCAAATTAGATATTTCGTGGCAACGCCGCCCACCTTATTAAACGCTCCACCCACCAATGGCAGCTAACTTCCCTTCCTTCAGCAATCTCTACCTCTTTTTTTCCAGTCCATGGAACTTCTCGGAACGGAATTATACGAAGTTGTAATAAACACTCCCAATTGGAAAAACGCTCCGCCCACTGAAAGGGCTTCCGAAAGTTCAAGTAAGCCGGCTTCCACAAAGTCCAGGTATGCCGAGAACACATTAGATATTGCTTTCCTACACTGATATTTTTCTGCTCCATAGGCTTTCTCATGGCCGAGTTATGGATCTTTCATAAGCCTTCGCCCATTAAGAGAACGCTCGAACACCGCGACTAAGTCTCCCTAATTCGACTTATCAGCTCAGAGTACACCTCTAACCATTTTTCTCAGTCTTCGGGTCCTTCTGTAAACAAACTCGAACTTTTGCCGTCAACACCGCCCAATTTACCGCGTGCTCTGCCCACTGTGGGCGGAGACATGTTAAGCCGATAACACTTGACCCGGACTCGGTAGGTGGTTCTTCAGGTAGTACCGAATTCCGTGACAGACGGAGAAACACACAGATGAAAGACAGACTTAGCGCATTATATATAGTAGGTATTGGAGTAGAAGGTTGCTTATTTGAAAGTAATATGAAAATAAAAGTTGAAGTGTCAATATTTCATGAACATCGTTATAATTTGAGAGAAGAACGACAACTACCGAAAAACCAAAGAAATTTATCTTTGGAGCAATGTACAAGTAAAACCAAAATAATTCGAAGTATTTTATTTATTTTTGATCAGTTCTGCTGGGAATTCGGCCATCACGATCTATTCTTCCCTTCCCCTCCCCTCATTTCTCCAGCCATATTATGAAATAAGAGGAACCATGCCTCGTAACAACTGACCTTAACACACTGCTCTGCCGCGTCCGAAATGCTTGCGAGATCGTAGCCTCCTTCCAAAGCCAGGACAACTCGGCCACCTGCGAATCCCATCAGTTGTCGAGTCATGAACCCGAACATTTCTGCAGAAATTTTATACCTGAAACGAGGAATTCAAACTAGCCTCATCAAAAAACTGGCAGGCATCGGGTATCTAACTGGGTAATACTCAATTAACTATTTGGGTTAACCAATCGATAGGGATTTGAGTGCAATGCTAACTGAGAATGTCTATTTCTCACCCGCCAAGAGCATTCGGATGACCACAACACGCATCAAAACCGGCTGAGACCAGAATGAAATTGGGCTGGAATTGTTCCAGGACCGGGTGTACGACCACGCGCCACGCCGCGAGGTAGTCAGCATCCCTCATTACACCTCCAGAGAACGGTACATTCACCGAGTATCCCTGAAAATCAAGTCGATTTGAAATCCTCTTTTCTAGAAGATGGATAATCTTAACACATCGATGATAGCCACCATCTTGCTGTCTTTTTATACATTTTTTTCATTAGTAGACGATGATTTCGTTATCAGTAACAAGGGTGGTTCACCGAATCCAATAGAGCATAAGGACAGCTCCAAACATAAACATATAAATCGTAATAAATAATATAAATATAAATAATATAATATAAATAATATATAAATCCAAATATAAATCGACAAAAATGAAGAAAAACCAGCTTTCTCCGAGTGAAATAATGACGCGCAACCGCGTCACACTATCGCGAATGCGTTGAAAAAGTAATGAGCAATGAACAAAGCAACAGACCACGCTATGCTACATGACGTACATAAGAACAAATAAAGCGAAGTAAAACTTGAGAATGCTGGGAATAATTTCAAAAAAAGGATCTATACCTTGCCTGCACCTCGACCCACTTCCGTCACTGCTCCAGTTCCGGGGAAGAAATTTCCATTGTCATGACGGTGAAGAGAAAGATACAAAACACTCGGATCCTCCTCAAAGCACAACTGGGTACCATTCCCATGATGCACATCCTGAAATTAATAACGCTATGAAGGTTCAAGTAACAGAAATGGTCTTCACTGTGCCCCAGGCCACAATCCCCACGGATATGTAGCTCAATCCCAGCGTGTTTGGCTATAGAAATACTTGCTAAAGCCATTATACCTTACCAATACACACATAGTTGCCATCACGAGAAAACTTTTAAACCAGCTGACAGATTGGTGAGGGAAACAAATAGCATTGAAAGGAAAGGAAAAAAGCTTACCCAGTCAATGATGGCAATTCGAGCGCACTGCTGGGGATACTTTTGCTGAAGATACCGAGCAGTGATGGCCACATTATTAAAGAAGCAGAAACCCATCGCCTTCAACAATAACATTGAGAATCGAGAAACGTAAACAAATAACAAATCAAGTCCCATTTTTCCAAACTTGACAAAGAATCCAGTGCACACCTGATCTCGTTCAGAGTGATGACCTGGCGGCCGAATACATGCAAAGCCATTCCGAAGTCGGTTTTCCACTACCTAAAGTGCCCACGTGAAGATTTTCAGAACTACATTCCACAGGTTCTTATAACATGTTTTACACTGATTCATTTTGAATGCTACTACGCCACCTCTCAAAAATCTCAAAAAATGCGAGGGTGTTAAGTGTCGAGATATAACAACTTCTTTATAACCCAAAAAGGGGCGGAGCGTGCGTGGTGGGCGGGATGTGTATGTATGTATGTCGGTATGTAGGCCGTCAGACCGTCAGAGAATAAAAAAAAGAACAAACCGCCAACACTAGAATAAGCATCTCCTCGTCGAAACTCTGAGCAAGCTACGATGAAGAGCCACTGTGAGCCGCATCAAGACGATATAGAACATTGAGACGCGAGATGCAGAAAACCAGGACCATTGCACTGCGAACTGCTGCAAAACCATGACAAGGCCAAAGCCCCCACGCGCTATAGAGCCGCAGGAACGGATCCCCTCCAGCTTCGGGGTCAAATCTACCCTATTCACGAGAGAAGGTAACTCATTTAGCCTAACCGCGTAACGGGTCTTCGAATGATAAACGGTAACCGGACCTATTATGTACATCAACCTCATTTTTTTTCAATAATCCAACCATCCAACTCACTTGAGACGCTAATTCGATAAGTGAGCCGGCTGCAACGCGGGCAGCCGTTTGTGTGGTAGCATCGTTGAAGTAGGTGTCCGAATCGATTCCGATTCCACCACATGGCAACTAAAAGCATTTGTTAGGGCAGCAGAAACTGTGTCGGCAACCACGGGCGTGGATCAAATTCTTCATTAAATCTAAGGATCATGCGGCGAATGATGCCTTGAATTTCGGTTATGAAATAATCCGAAACATAAGCGAAAAAAGCGCCTTGAAGGATCCGGTTATTCAATTTCTGAGTAGAATATATCTAGTACATTACCTGGACAAAACTTTTCAGTGGTAGCTGAGAGGCCTCCATTTTCAGACAAGCCGTCGGCGACACCGCGAAAAACGTCACATAGGTTGGCGAATGAACCATCCGAAGTTGTTCGAGTGAAGCCTTCTTTGCGGCTATTCGCTCGCACCTAAAACTAAATACTAGTAATGATATAATAATAATATTGGGTTGTCCCATAATTCCTGTCCGAATTTCGACACTTTCTTCTCATCGAGTTTTATCTTCCTCAAAAACCAATTGATCAAAAATATAACCATTATCATAATCACCGATATGCATCCATTCACCAGGGAACCTTTGGATGCTTTCCTCCTAGAATGGGTGAAGCTATGAGCTGAAGAATTCAGCAAGGTCGTTTTTGGAGTGGTTGTATTAGTGACTTTTTTCTCTCGCCGCTGCTGCCTCAAGGCACTGTGAAAGGGATAGCCCGATGGAGTGATGCCAGGGCTATACGATGGACATGGTATCGTGGTCCAGCCAGTTTCCCTCAGAACGTAGCGAGTTATCTTTGCAATGTGAGGTCGGGCGTCTATTCGGAGAAAGGGGATTTTGGGACGTTTAGGACGGTTTCTCTCCCACTACTGCGGCCAACCCGGGAGCTGTTCCACGATGGCATTCGCAATACTTGTCCGCATATAGCAAAACGACTGTGAAAACGGAAGACCCACTCAATCTAACAAATCAAAAGCAATATTCTCTGACCACGGAGTTTGGGCTTTTGTTGAGCTGGTGAGCCCTGGCTGCGAGGTAGCCATCAGGCGTGCTGCGTGTTGTTGTCGTAGTGAACTCATGACTCATCCCCACTAGTGACCAATTAGGGAACGCTCTGCTTTGAGGTCACAGAATGAAATTCCCCCAGAGGGTCAGACCTGCTTCTCGGTCATGGCTGGTCGGTGCATATGGTTTCCATCAAGTCTTCATTCTGCTGCTGCCCACTTCCATCCTGATGGCGTGTGCTGGTGCATCGGCTGCGCCCAGGTGTCTGCTACAATACCCTGGTAGTAGCGTCCGTGTGCACTTCCAAGCCGTGGCGCAAGGGGTCCTCATCGAAAGTGAGTGGAGGCCCAGGATGAGGCTGATTTTCACAGCTCGTATTGTCTTTGCCATTGCGACCGAACCTCTAGCTCAGTGACCGATCAGTAGCAGAGACTGAGCCAAACACAGCGCTGATCTTCTCTAGTGTCCTCCTTGCAACAGCGTCTATTTGAGGATCATAAAGCATAATCGTTCGTTATTGTCATTGATCTATTTCGACTTCTACTCAGTTATTCCGATGCGGGTTTGACCTTCCAAAACGTCCTGGCTAACGGTCTAGATGCACTCTTTGACATACCAACATATTTCGCAATGACACTAATTCGACTTGAAGAAATTTGAATTTGATCAAAAATCGGACAGGAATTATGGGACAACACATTATATCAGTCAGTCATAATTAGTCAAAAATACGCAACGGTGAAACTCCACTTCGGGGGGGGGGGGGCACTTTATTTTTTCTCACATTCCTGAAATCCCGAGAGAGAACAAAGTGTAGAGCAGTTCATGGGAAAGTGAAACAAGAGTGCCATATAACAGCACAATACAACTCAATCAGGATACTAACACCTTCTTCAGGAAAACAGAAGACTTCAAAATGCGAGTGCGAACTCTGCCCACAGATAGGTGCACGGCGTATACCCGAGGCGTTTTCCCGTAAAAACGCCTCCTCTGTCAGCGGCCGTAAGCAGACAAACTTTCTGAAGAGAGTTTTCGATGCTTTATATAAAATACCAGATTAGTCCCCCGTCAACCGCCGGGACCTTCCTTTCCTGCGCAAGCTTTCTATCCTCCGCTATGGTCCCTTCCTCCTGTGACACCAACACCTCCTGGAAGTGACGCGTATGCAACACAATGGTGTTTCATACAGTAGAAGGGACACAATCATGATATGACGGTAGATTTTTCGCTTCCCTTCCTCATCCTCCCTTCCTCTCTCCACTGCCCTCCAGCTGCCACTGCAGCACCATGTGGAATGAACGGAAGTGTGCTAAGCAGGTGTTTATATAGCCCTAAGAGTGTTATCACAACTATCCTGCTACAAAACATTGATATCTCAAATCCTGTAAGCTACCCGATTTGTTAGCGGTTTGTTTATCCCATGAGCTTCCTTCTCACTCACTTCATTTTGCGGACGGACACACATACATACATACATACATACATACACAGC